CCCCCCCACCCCACCCCGGCCGGCAGCCGCCCAGGCGGCTCACCTCATTTCACCCCACCGGACTCGCGTTGGCTTTCACCCGGGGGGTAGCCAAATCCCCCTCCAACACCCCCTCAACCTGGTGTCCACGTCCCCCTCGTTCAGCGCAGGGGAAGCTCGGGGTCACCGGGGCTGTGGGGAGGTAGGTTTGGGGAGCCTGTGTGTTTCCCGGCCCCCCTCAGCTCCAGGCAGGGGGCGGCTCACCTCATTTCACCCCACCGGACTCGCGTTGGCTTTCACCCGGGGGGTAGCCAAATCCCCCTCCAACACCCCCTCAACCTGGTGTCCACGTCCCCCTCGTTCAGCGCAGGGGAAGCTCGGGGTCACCGGGGCTGTGGGGAGGTAGGTTTGGGGAGCCTGTGTGTTTCCCGGCCCCCCTCAGCTCCAGGCAGGGCATGGAGCCACGCGGTCCGTTCCCCGTCCTGGAACCGAGGCGTTCCTGGCTGCATGGGCCACGATCAGCTCCTCTTCCCTAGAGGGGACAGGATCCTGCCGCCTCCCTCCATGGGGGGAAGGGTTTCTCTGGCGCTCTCCGAAATACCTCGTGCTCCCAGCCCCGACACAACCACCGACCTGCCGCCGCGCTCGGCTCGCAAACCTGGCACCGGCAAAGCGGGGCGGCCCTGGCACCGTGCCTCCGCCGGAGCGGGGCGAGGTGATCGATAAACGCAGACCAAAGATGTGCCATCATGTGCTATACATGAGGGAATTATATTTGATAGAGTACTTACAGGCAGATTTCTATTTTTCTGTATCCCAGATTATGATAAGATTTCCTTCTGTGTTGTGCCAGGTGTAATTATTGTGCAGTCAATGAAAGGTGCTTTCGAAAAATCAAACAGCTTTACTGAAATTCTGAACTCTGTGTTTAGCTGTCGTCGTGGTTTGTATTTTTTATCATGGGAAAGGGGTCTGATGCGGGCTGGGAAGCCAGCAATGGTCTTGTGTTAATTGATACTATGGTTTTTATATAAAATTGACATAATAAATTGTTTTAAGAAAACCAAAAGCCCTTTTCTGTGTATGGCTCTGCTGGTTTCACTGCCTGTGTCCGTGCTCAGAGGCCAGCCGGCCCCGCAGAGAGCCGTTCCTCGGCGCGGCCACAGCTGCTGCTGCCTCCAAAGGGCAGACAGCAAACGCCCAGCTCTGTGTAACAGGGACAGATCCATACCAGAGCACGTGTTTTCTCATCACCGGGGGCCGTGAGGAGGCAGGGCTGGCAGCTAACAGCAGGTCACGGCTTTGCCCGTCTGCCTGGAGGAGCAGGAAAGGAAGGAGCAGGACACGGCGTGAAAACCGGGCTCGTGCTTTATCGTGGTGGCTGTGTGTGTGCAGCGCCCGGCTCAACGCCCTGCCCTGCGCAGGCCACGCAGCAGAGGCGAGGCTGTTAGCCAGCGTGAGAGATCACTGATGTCTGTCCAAGCCTGTAATTGCCGTGACCTCCCTTCAGAGGACCTGCCCGGTAAGGAAACAGAAAAGAGTAACATGCCCCACGGTGCCTGCAGGCTTTCAAACACATAGCAGCCTAGGAGGCTGGCAAGGGATTCGCAGTCATCCCGCCTCGTTACAGTCCTGCACAGGCAAGATGCTGATTTATGTGCTTTGCAACACCCACGTAAGCTGTTTATTCCAAAGGTAGGTCTGGCCACTGACCCCGAGAGCAGGCGGCAATGCCCATCTTGCACACCTCCGCCTCCACACGCCGATTACGATACGGGGACGCGCTTGGGCTCTCCCTTCTTAGACAGAATTGCTGGTTTCTCTCTGGAAGCTGCTAACTTTTGCTGGATGCAGCCAGAGCCTGTTCCTGGCACAGGGGAGGGCCTTGCCACGGGAGCTCTCCCGAAATACCTCACCCGCCAGAGGGGTTGGTGCTCTTGACACCTGTGGCCAGCGGGGCCAGAGGGCCTTACCTCGCCAGCCTCCCGCCCTGGCGTCAGGACGATCCGGGCAGGGGACAGCTGTGTCCCCTGCGCTGCCCGCTGGGAAGAAGACGAGCCCCGAGCTGCCGTGAGCGAGGGGGCGGAACCAACCGGCCT